CACCCCGTGTGCGAGCGCGCACCCTCCTTCACACTCCCCTGCCGTCGCACACGGTCGAGCACATCCTGGAGCCGCTTGGCCCTCCCCCCCCCGCACACTTGCTCACGCTTGCGCGGTCTGGCACAGGCGCCTGCCCACCTCCCACGCGGCCTTGCACACTGCCGCGCGGGCCCTGCGGGCTGCTGCGCTCCCCTGCGCACGCCTGCGCAGTGCGGCGCACCCCTGCGCCGTCGAGCCCACTCTGGTCGACGCCTGCGCGCTCCCTCCACACGGACCGCTCCAGAGCACAGTCTTTCGCGAACGGCATGGCACCCCTGCGCGCACCCCTCACACGTGGCGCTGCCCGCGCTTGCACGTTCCAGCAAGGTCTTGCGCGCCCTGCGAGCGCTGCCGGCCTCCTGCGAACGCCATGGCGCGCTCCTCGTTCCTGCGCCTGTTCTGCGCGCTCTTCCGCACGTGGCTCGGCGGCGCGCCCTGGGGGGGAAGTGAGGGGGGGCGGGCCATCTCAGAGGGCGGCGGGGCTCCTCAGAAGTGCCCTGGCCTCGTAGGAAGCCGTCTGTGGCTTCGGAGGCCTTCTGAGCCTTCTGAGAAGGCCAGCCCCCTTCTGCCTTCCTCTCTGGGCGCCGCCGAACGCTAAAGGCGTGTTCCACACGTCGAGCGGGGAGAACGCATAGGGGGGTCGGGGGAAGCGCTGCGGGGCGCAGTGTTCGGGATCGTGAATCGCGGCCGCAAGCGCTAGTTACCTCGTCGCGTTTGGACCCCGGGAGGGATCCGGGAATTGAGTTTGAGTTGCCGTTGCATCAACCCGCCTTGCTCCAAGCTTCAAGTCTTGCTCCGCATTGCAATGTCGAGTGCCGGTTGAAGAGCGCAAACGGAGAGTGGCGTCTGGGCCCAGTGCATCAGCGCAAGAAGCGGGTCTGCAGATGAGCCTCCGCAAGGTAAGCTTTGCTCGTCGGCGCAGCCGGTGCGCGAGGCAACACATCGGGCGCAGCCATTGCTCGGTTTTCCTTATGAGAAAGCATGCACCACAAGCATTGATAGTTGTCGCCATAGGCATTGGGAATGGACAGGCGCATACACCGCAGGCACGTCAGACGTCGGGCGCAGGCTGCCGCATGGTCCTGAGAGGAGCGAGGAGGACAAGGAGGGGGATGTGAAAGACAGGGCTCGAAGTGAACGATGTTCTGGAGATTCCTTGGACCGCTCTCGTTTTGATGCGGTTTTGCTGCAAGGGCGGATCGGAGGCAGGCCGAGGGAGAGCCAAAACAGGACGGGAACGGGCAGCACCGTTTGGGTCGAGCCTCGGTGCAGGAGCAGTGGGGGTGGGGCCGCAGCACCTGCCCCGTCGCTTCCGCTGGCGCTGTGGCCTTGGCGCTGGCCGCGTGCCTGGCTTGGGATATGTTTGGTCTCGTGGCAGCGCCCGCCGCGTCCCCGAGTGTCACCACCCACCAAACCACCCACCAAACCACCCCAACCCAACCTGAAGGCTCAGACTTACCCTCGATTTCCAGTGGGGGGGGGGTCGGGAAACAGCGAACAAAAACACGTGTGGAACCCTTATCCCCCCCCCTAACCCGAAGTTCGGGTCTTCGGGTCGGGTTGGGGTGGTCTGGCAGGTAGCCACCGAGTGAGGACGGCTCGCTCGCCGCGCCGCCGGACGCGTCGTGGCACTCTCGGCCGCAGCACTGGGCGCGCCGCCGCAGCACCGGCCGCGCGCCTTGTCGTGGTGCTCTGCGGCCGGAGAGGGCCGTGCAGTCCACCCGCACAGTGAGCATGGGCAACGGACAGAACCCCCAACAGTGACACGTCGATTAGTGAATTGTCCGTTTTCGGTCCTCGAGAGGGCGCCGCGGCCGTTATTTTCCAGGCTTGCGCCCGCCAGATTTGGGCCTCAGGTCGTTTTCACTAAACCACGTTTTACTAAAGGGAGGTCTGTCCATCCCCGAGGCAAGCTTCCCGTGGGTATACCCCTGCACATCCTTGCCTCCTCGGTCCATCCTTGGCCACTCTCGCTGGCCGCGCCCCGCTCGAAAAGCCTCGACGCGGGCGTCCGAGGCCCTGGCATCCTTGCCGCGCATCCTCGTGATGCGAGCCGACTGCACTCGGGTGCGCCTCGGGGTATCTTGTGGACCTGCTGAGGGCCGCTTGGGGGGTCTTGTCATCATGTCGGGAGGGTTGGCTTCCGCGGCGCGGCAGCGGCGCGTTTTCGGACCCCCTCTTGGGGCCGTCTTGGGGGGCGATCTTGACCCTTCTTGGGGGCCCGTTGGGTCATCTCGGGACAGTCTTGGGGGTCTCCCCGGGCAGTCGCTGCTGCTGGAATGTTCAAATCCGGATCGAGGAGGCGGATCGAGGAGGATCGAGGCCGAGGAGGATCGAGGAGGATCGGTCAATCTCCTCCTCCTCCTCCTCCTCCTCCTCCTCCTCCTGGGACGCCCTTGCGATCGATGCTGCGGAAGAGTTTAAGTCGCGTCCAAGCCCGATTGATGACGCCGTCGGAAGCCGTCTGGATGCCTCTGTGACACGACTTGGGGCCCTCTTGTGGCTGGCGCTTCAGGACCGTCTTAGAGGTCATGTTGGGCGCCTTGGAGGCCTCTTGGCCGTCTTGGGGCCGTCTTGGAGGCCTCTTGGGTTGTCCTGGGGCCATCTGGAAGGCCTTTGGGGTCACAGAGATCTTGCCGACTCGGGATTCCTGGGCCGGCCCCCGCGCCCTCCACGGCGTGGCCTCCCAGGGTGGTCCGCAGGAGCGCCGAGCCCTCGGCCGAGGGTGGCCCCGAGAGGGCTCCGCCGGCTTTGGGCCGCCCCGAGGTGGCCCAACGTTGCAAGCAGTGGCGAAGCGTCCCGGCTCGCGCCTGCAGCCCCCCCAAGCAATGTTCTGAGAACCTCTTGCGGTTCCCACGAAATTCGGGGGCGGAAGAGAGGGGGGTGATGACTAGGGGGGGGGGGATATCATGGCGGGGGCCATGATATTTCCCCAGATTTCATGGCGCCTCTTCTTGTTTCATTACGTCCCTGGCCCCCCCGCTGGGCCGCGCACATGCCGCCGGTCATGATTTGCACCCCCCCCTCTTGGACACCCCCCTCTTGGCCGCTCCCGAGAAATGTTCTTAGAACATTTCTGGCGGAGGTTGTCTTGTTTAATCACATCGGGTTTCTGTTCCAAGAACACTGTTTCTGTTCTTAGAACATTATTGGGTTCTAAAGAACATATCGTGGTAGGACTGTAGGAATGCCGGGACGGTCGGTCCCTGCTCAACAAACTGGCCCCAATGTCGCCCATGTTACGGCGTCGGCATTGGATAAAGAACGTCTTCTTGGGGCCCAGACCCTGGCGCATGCCCTCTTGCTTCAGGGCGAGGTGGGTGGCCCGCGTTTGGCCGCCGATCGGTCGCGAGGCCCTGTTTCCTTATCGAAGATATCCATAGCTAAGACCTCCACCGTACTCCAGGGAGGTCGAGTGGGGGGTGGGGAGGGTCACCACCCCCAGCACCCCCCCCATGGATCCCCGCCCCGGCGGGGAAGGGATCGACGGGTAGGGGATCGGATTCGACTCGATAAAAGCAGCGGGGGTCGATGCACGCCTCGGGTTGGCGAGTTTGGAGAGCCCCGGGTGGCCGCAGAGAGGGGGGAGAGCTCTTGAGGACGGGGCTCCACGGTGGCCACAGGGGCATGAGAGCTTGGAGTGAGGAAAACTGTGGCACATGCCGACAGCGTCGGCGGATTCATCAGCGCCCTCCGCATTCCTCCTCGTACTCGCCCTCGTTCTCTTCGTCCTCGTCCTCGTGCTTCTCTTCCTCCTCGTTGTCCTCACGCTCCTCCTCGCTATCCGCACGTTCGCCACGTCGTCCTCGTCATCGACTCCTCGTTGTCCTCGCCTTCCTTTTCTTCTTCGCCCAATACGCCCATCAGACTACAGCGGCGCTTCCCGTTCTTGTCCGATCAGGTTTTTTGATGGGCCTGGGGCCCGAAGTCTGCCACCGAACCTCGAGATTGAAAGATCGCGGCGTACCTGCTGGTTCCGGCGTGCGTCGCCAGCCTCCGTGTGCTCCCAGAGGGCGTGCGTTGTGTGGCCCACCCGCGAGCGCGGCGCCAGTCGGATGCGGCGCCCGTGTGCGCATCCTGCACTGGCAGCTCCCCTGGACAGCCTGAGTCTTTCATCGCGATGTTGCCACGCAGCACCAGACCTCAACTGTTGACAAATTCGCGGCGGACGATTTTTTGGCCGCCGCTTTTCAGTTGTCAGCGGATCCAGGGACCTCCAACAAACTATTCAGCATGAGGAACTGGTCCCCAGAAAAGGGTTCAGACCTCCCTCGGTACGACTTCGGGGGCTTGGATTGGTTTCTTGACCCCTTTCATTCTCACCCTCCTGGCTTTCCGCAGTTTGATCGTTTGCCCAGGCTACTTTGATGAATTTGCAGTCTCTGGGAATCAGCGCTCAGAATGACCGCGCTCGACTTGGGAGACGCTGTGCTTTGTATCCCGCGTCCGCCTTGGAAACAGATTTGGGGTCCCAGGTCTTGCTCAATCCAGGTGGGGAGCAATACAAACAGTAATCGAGACTTGCCTCCGGTAGCCCCTGCATCAGCGTGACGACATCCAGTGCCCATAAACACTACGCACGCGTTATGATGTTCCAACCTATTTTAGCCTTGACCACCAGAAAGAGTTTCGAGCGCCAGACAAGTACCCAAAAAGTCAAGGTTGTCACGTGTCAGGCCCTGGGAGACACTCGGCCGACATTGTTTCGACACTATTGCGACACTCTTTCGACACTTTTCCGGGTGCTCGACATTATTTCTGGAACGTGGTTCTTGAGTCCCATGGGAGCAACATAACGCAGGCGTCCATGTCGTCTTTGTTCTGTTCATATGCGTCAGTTTCCATGCAATGCACGCTCATCAAGAGCATTGGCTTCCTTGGAACATGGCCTGTGCGCGCGGGTAGTGATCGTGTCTCGCGCGGCTTCCAAGTAGATCAGGTAAGATACGTCGCAGTCGCAC